ATCTGAATGTCTGGTCACCCTAGACCAGTGGTCCGCAACACAGTGCCCGCGGGGGCGGGGGCACCCGCCAGGGCATTTACATGCGCCCGCCAAGTGCTCGGGGCTGGCCCCGCCCCCGGGCGCACGGCACATGGGGAGCGCCGGCCTCGGGCGCACGCACCTGGACGCATGGCTATGGGGGGTGCCGGCCCCGGGCGTGCGATGAATTGGTAGCTCCGCCCCCAGATGCGCAGCGTATGGGGTCATCGCCCCCAGGAACGCGCCACATGCACGGCCCTGTCCCTGGGCGCCGTGCAGCTCCAAAAGGTTGGGGGCCACTGGTTTAGTGCCTCGGGGACCACGTAGCAATAACAATGCTTAGCACGTCTCCAGCTATGGGGAGACCCCACTCGGGACTTACAGCGGGACCTGCGCAGCTACCTGTCTCGTATCTTTGGGAAACTTTTCCCTTCCCAACCCTACTCCTTCTGGGGAGTGACTGGAGTTATTGACAAATGCAGAGGGGGAATCCGAGGCGGGGGCTGAGGGATTCCCCCGGAGGAAAGCCAGTATTTCTGGCTCCTCACCTCGTGCTCCGATCACTGCCTCATGCCTATGCCTATGGGTTTCATACATGAACAGATGTTTTCAACCCAACATTCCTCATGCAGCCATTGCAGCGCCAGGAATTTGAGAGTCATTGACTGTCATTGGCCAAGGCGAGGGAGAGTCCGAACGTGTAACACTCAAAGGTGAAGTTCGAAAACTCTCTCTACCGTGCGCATCTTTGTCCAGCCAGGGTGAAACTTCGCTGCAGGGCTGTGTCTTGGCGTTAGGCAAGTGTGAAAATGTCAACTAGATGTTAAATCAGTTAATGGGCATCACAAGTAACTCAACCTTTGAACCCTTGGGCTGGAAGGGACCTCAGGAGTCATCGAGTCCAGCTCCCTGCCCAAAGCAGGACCAACCCCGACTCAACCATCCCAGCCAGGGCTTTGTCAAGCCGGGACTTGAACACCTCTAGGGATGGAGATTCCAGCCCCTCCCTAGGGAACCTATCCCAGGGGTGTGGGCCCACCACCCCTAGGGAGCCCGGCCCCGCCCCCAGTGCGCATGCACAGCCCAGGCTCCGCCCCCGGGGCGCACGGCGCATGCGCTGCCCAGTCTCTGCTGCTGGCGCACGGCGCCTGACCGTGCAGGGCTCTGCAGCCGTGGGGGGAAGGGCGCTGTTGGCCGGCGCCGTGGGGATGCGGGGGGGCTGGCGCTGGCGCTGTGGGAGCCGGGTGCATGGCGCCTGATGGCAGCTATAAGGGACACCGCACGCCCCTTACACCTGCCATCAAGCGCCCCCATCAGTTGGCACCCCAGGCAGCTGCCCAGCTCGTCCGGCCCTGATCCCAGAGCTTCCCCACCCGCCTAGGGAAACAGTTTTTCCTTGTAGCTAACCTAGACCTCCCCCACTGTAACTTGAGACCATTGCTCCTTGTTCTGCCCCCGTCACTACTGAGAACAGCTTCTCTCCAGCCTCTCTGGAACCCCCTTTCAGGAAGTTGAAGGCTGCTCTCAAATCCCCCCTCGCTCTTCTCTTCTGCAGACTAATGCCTTTGCCCATCTTGTTCAGAATGTGACCTGAACGCTGGCAATCAACCGTCCCACCGGGCTGGATTCTAGCTTCAAAATGGCAGATGCATGAGGGTGAAATACCCAGGCCATAGCTGACTGGCCGGGAGGATCATAGGACACTCTCCATCTGGCACTTGTCTGGACTAAGGAAACTGGCACCAGCGTAGCTGCTGTAATAACCTCTCCTAACGCAGAGCGTTTTTCGTCAGTAGATCGAAGTGCGTTACAAAGGCGATCCCACTGACCCCATTTTACACGTGGGGAAACTGAGGCACGGAGCTAGGGTATGTCTCCACTTGCACCCTATTTCGAAATAGGGATGCAAATGCAGACATTCGAAATTGCAAATGAAGCCGGGATTTAAATATCCCGCGCTTCATTTGCATAATCGCATTATGGCGCTATTTCGCGTTGGCGCTACTTCGAATGAACAGACGCTGTGTAGACGCAGTTATTTCGAGAGAAAACCCTTCTTTCGAAATAAATGTTAAACCTCATTGTACGAGGAATAAGAGTTACTTCGAGGGAAGGGTTTTCTCTCAAAGTAACTCTTATTCCTCGTACAATGAGGTTTAACAGTTATTTCGATAGAAGGGTTTTCTCTCGAAATAACCGCGTCTACACAGCGTCTGTTCATTTGAAATACAGCTAACTCGAAATAGCGCCATCACGCGATTATGCAAATGAAGCGCGGGATATTTAAATCCCGGCTTCATTTGCAATTTTAAATGTCTGCATTTGCATCCCTATTTCGAAATAGGATGCAAGTGTAGACATACCCCTGGAAAACGACTTGACCAAGGTCCCAGCCAGTCAGTAGCAGAGCTGGGCATAGAAGGTCTCTAGAGTCCCAGTCTTTCTTACTCCCCTAGGCACCGGTACTTACACACTAAGGCGGTCACTCCAACGCACACCTTTAATGTGGATCTGCCGCTCCCATGCAAACAGATCTCGCTCCAGGGCAGTTTGGCAGTGCGGACCATAGAAGTGCACTAGACTTACACTGATGCAACACGTATACATGGAGGTTTGCACTGCTGGGGTCTCATCAGTGCAAAGTCCCCAAGAGAGACAGGGCTTCCAGAGAGGCCCGGGTCTTCAGAAGGAGAATTTTGTGTGTTAAAATGAGTGGCTGGGACTTTTCGTGCATGCTCTAAATCCCGCTCTTTTTGGCATTTATCTTGCGCCGCATCTCTCTTAGCTCGGCACGCCTGTTTCATGGGGAGAACGGGCACGCTGCTATGTAAAATGATCCAGGGGAGACTTAAGAGATGCCAGCAAAGGGAATCAGGACAACGGGAAACTAACTAACTGGAGGCTTTACAGAACAGCTATTGATGAATAGATCACAATGGGACAGGCAGGCCTGAGACAAACCAGAATGATAAAATGGGTTACGGCTTACAGAGATCTGAACCAAAAAGGGAACCAGGAGGAGGGCGAAGCGGAGGAATTAAGCTCCCTCTGGCTTTTAAATCTCTCCCTTTCCTAAACACACAGCCGAAAATGAATTGCGTAACTTCAAGCTGATGTGGTTAAAGGGAATTAGAACGGGGGTTGCTGAGAGTTGGCTGAATCATTAAGCTGATTTGACTATCAAAAATTAATTTAGTGTATGAAACAGTCTCGGCAGGGGGCAGAGCGGTGGCTAAGAGGGAACATAATCTCTGAAGACAACTGACAAGCTGCTTGGCAGCCATCAGGGAAAGCATTTGGAAAGAGAATAATGAAAATGGGAAATAAATAAGCTCTCTCTCTCCTGAGGTTATTCGGACCTTCAGGGGAAGCGAAGGAGGCTGCGGAGGAGAGCGGCACGCAGAGGAGGAGGTTTTCCGTCTATTAAAAAGCCGAGATGCCTGATCACGGGGGCTTTCCAGTCCTACAGATAACGTACCCTCCGGGTGACTGACTGGCACGGGAAAGGTGAAAATTCCCGGAGGCTGCACGGAACGCACTGTGCTCCTGGCTCTCCGCAGTGCGGAACACCCAAAGGCGAGCGACATGGGGGGTGGGGGTGCTAGCCCCCACCTTCCCAAGCAGCCAGCCTGGCCCTGCCCAGACTCTGCCCCCAGAATGCCTACTGGGAGTGGAGAGACTGGGGCGCCCCACCTCCCTGTGCTCTCAGGCTGGGGAGACTCAGGGCGTGCACCGCCCCACCTCCCTGTGATGCTGGGGGGCGGGGCCTGACCAGAAGGGGCGGGGCTAGGGGCTTGCCCGCCCCAGCCCTACCTTCACCCACCGCCCATCTGGAGAGCGCATAGTATCTCGCTTGACGACTCCTCAGAGAGGCAAGATGGTGCCGTGGTTTCCATGCCAACCTGGCAGGTTTACCACGAATGGTGGAGGCTGGAATCGGCGGCTGAGCCACAAGTTGGGGGTGGCAAGAGGGCACGTCTCCGGGTACTGGAGCAAGTCCCCCAGCCTGCCGGGGCAGATCTGTGCGAGAGGGGCATGAGCGAGTGCACTAAAAACAGTGGCGTGGATGTTCCCAGTTGGGCGGGTGCTCAGGCTTTCCAGCCTACTACATGCCCCAAAGGCTTTCCAGCCTGGGCTGGCACGGCCATGGCCTGGCTCGCGTGCTCCTTGGGGGCTCTGCTGGCATGGGTGTGCCTCGCTGGGCTGTGAGGCTGCCTTTCCAGGACACCCAAGTGACGCCACCAGCTGCCCCGTAGGAAGGCGAGAGAATTTGACCCTCCGCTTGCTGCAGAGCAAAAGCTCTGCTGCAGAAAGCAGGCCGGGGAGGCGGAGTCGTTTGTTTAGGCTCCGAGGGAAAGAATCTGACTGTCTCCACCACACCCTCCGTTTGCTTTTCCCACCAGAAAGCTGGGCTCCCCGAGGCCCTGTGTAGCCCTGCCAGCCTGCCTCCCGCCCTGCCCTGGGCCACCTCTCGGCCTCAGCGCCACGTCGATTCGTCCCTTTGGCCTTGTAGAAGCTGTAGAAACCATTTTCATATACAAGATGGCTTCTAGCTACATAACAAACCATTTCAGCTTCTCTCTCAAGCACGGAGACCAGAGTGAACTTTCTATCACCCCATGTGCCAGGCCAAGACAGATGTGCTATTGGTATGTGTTAATTGGGCTGGTTTAGACAGGAGAGGTACTCCCTCGTACCTGTCCGCCATCTTGTTGATAAGGCTTTATTTTTCCTAGCTTAATTGATGACTTCTGTAATTGGATGCCCTGACGTCAGGCTGTTTGGTCAAGGGTATAAAGATACTAGGATTGATTGTATTAGCAGCCTTACTGGGCCCGGCTTTGCTGGGACCACGTTTGGCTCATGCTGTGCTTTATTAATTAATAAAGCTGTTTGGTAGCTGCCTAAACAGAGAGGAGCATTTTTTTTTTTTTTTTTTTGCTTCAACAGCCTCCTCGCGGAGGTTCCTAATGTCGGTACCAAGGGTGGCTTCCTGGGTGTTCGCGATGCCCGTTCCCCGCCGACCCCCAAATTGCAGACACACGGTGATGGCTTTTGCTCAGAAGCCTGCTTCTAGCTTGCGCTGTAGGGGCGAGAGGCTCTGTCTCGCTGTGTCTGTGTGCAGGGCCTTGCACGGCCGGCAGCACAACCTCCTGGGCCGTGCGGTTGTGCTGAAGCAGGCGGAGACGAGTTGCATGAAAACGCTGGCTCCTACTGAACTACCAGGTAGATGAAAACAACCTCCACTGCTGAGGAACTTGCTGGTTCGGTTGCTATAGGCTGCCCCCTACCTTTCCCATACGGTGAAGCAGTTTGGCCTGAAAACACGTAACCAGGTGATGGGCAGCCGAGGCTAGTGAGTGGGCCGCGGGAGTGGCCCTTTATCTCAGTGGACCGCGAGACTGAGACGTGGTCTCCGTGGGACGGAGTAGCTGCGCTTGGGGGCCTAGAATGTGTGGGCTGTGCCGACTGATCGGTAGCAGAGGGAGCGTCACGGCTCTCACGGTCAATGTCCAATCAGCATGCACCTGACTTCACGTGCGTGTCACCCTGGTTCTACCGGTAGGAAAAAACCGACGTGGAGGAGAACAGGCAGAATCTGACAACCCCATGTGTAGGCAACGGTCTACAAAATGGCGTGAGCCACACACACAACCCCAATGGGCTGTATGCGGCCTTCGGGCCATAGGTTGCCTATCGCTGGCGTAACGGCACCACCATAAGCGTCAGGAAGGAGTTGGATGTTTTGGTAGCTGGGGACTGGGCAAGAGTGGAGGGTTTGGAATGGTGGACAAGCACACGGAGTGGACGTCTTTTGCTGAAATGATACGCACATGCCATCGTTAGGTTCCAGAGGTAACGGCCTCTAAGAAGGGCAGGTCGTGCTACAGCAGCACTGGGACCCTGCAGGTTGTGCTGCTGTGATAGCAGGAGTGAGTAAAATGTACTTTATTGTGGGCAGGACTGTCTGTCGGGGACCTCCTTCCCTGGACTGCAAAAATGAGTGGCAAAATGCTCAATCTCTCCTCCGTTTGTCATAAATAGAATCTCGGCAGCGTCAAGCAAGATTTTCTTTTTAAAGTAAAGGTTTTAATACTTAAATTTCAGCAAGAGATAGAACATAAGAACGGCCAGATGGGGTCAGACCAAAGGTCCATGCAGCCCAGTGTCCTGTCTGCCGACAGTGGCCAATACCAGATACCCCAGAGGGAGGGAACACAACAGGCAATCCTCATGTGATCCCTCCCCTGTCACCCACCTCCAGACAAACAGAGGCTAGGGACACCATTCCTACCCATCCTGGCTAATAGCCATTGATGGACCTAACCTCCGTGACTCTATCTAGCTCTTTTTTGAAACCTGTTAAAGTCCTGGCCTTCACCACATCCCCTGGCAAGGAGTTCCACAGATTGTGTGCTGAGTGAAGAAAAACTTCCTTTGGCTTGTTTAAAACCGGCTACCTATTAAATTTCATTTGGTGACCCCTAGTACTTTTATTGTGGGGGAGAAGTAGGGGGCAGGGATAGCTCAGTGGTTTGCACATGGGCTTGCCAAACCCAGGGTTGTGAGTTCAATCCTTGCAGAGGCTATTTGGGGCAAAAATTTGTCAGGGATGGTGGTTGGTCCTGCTGTGAAGGCAGGGGACTGGACTCAATGACCTTTCAGGGTCCCTTCCAGTTCTAGGAGATAGGCATCTCCATTCATTTAAGTAAATAATTTTTCCTTATTCACTTTTCCCACACCAGTCATGATTTGATACCCACCTTCGTCTCCTCTTCGTATAACAAGGGGTAAAAGTATTTTTTTACATGATTCAAGCAATATTTGTTTTGTTCTTTTAGTGGCAAAATCTGGGTCTGCAGTCAGTTTGTGTGAATCATGTTAACCCACCCTACTGTTTTTATAAATACCCCGGGGAAATCTCTCTCTTTTGCAGATGGGAGTGGGCTAAAAATGCCCAAAGCAAAGCGGGAGCAGGTGAGTCTGGAACTCAACCAGTCCCACCCAGGGCCCTAGTGCACCATACAGGGGTGTGGGGACTCGGGCAGAAGACCGGAAATTATGTTTAGACTTCGGAGCAGATGGGCAGTAGATTTTATGGAAATAGTTCCCCGGTGCATCCAGGGGAGCTCTCGCTACTGGAGTGCCAGTTACCGTACCAGCCAGGTTCCCTTTAATTCCCTGAGCCATCTAGTAAGTTGCGGCGTCATTCAAACACCCACTACTTTTCTGTGCCTTCCCTGCACCTCTGCTCGCTTACCAGTAATAAAGGCTGCTGGGCCCCACGAGCAGCCATGCGGCAAAGGGCATTCGGCTCTCCTCTTTCGCGGGTGTGAAGCAGCCGGTGAAATAGATGAATAGGATGAGGAAGAAAGGAATATACCTGTGGCAGGAGGAGAAAGTTGGGTCAGGTCGTGAAAATCCCATTCCGGCACCTCAGCCCCAGACTCAGGATGATGCCCCAGCAGGCCTGCCGGCGGGGTGGGGGGCAACGGGAGTAACGGCCCCAGGGCCTGGCCTTTCAAAGGGGCCGCCGCTGTTGCTACTATGGCCCCAGAAAAGCGTCCGTGCCAATCTAGACGCTCTTTTCCGCAAATGCTTTGAACGGAAAACTTTTCCGTTAAAAGCATTTGCGGAAAATCCTGCCAGTGTAGACGTAACCTTGGTGAATAGAAGGTTCTGCAGGTTGGACCTCCCCAGTCCGGCACCCTGAGTGGTCCCGAATAAGGGAATTTGCCGGAGCAGGGGAGGTCAGGCCTCTGGGCTCTCCTGGGCTCCCCTCTTGGTCACCGATATGGGAAAACTCAGAGTCCTGACCTCCTCTGGCCCACCTGCCTGGCTCTGCTGCCCCCAGCCTGCTCCCGGGGCTCTGCTCCCTGCCCCCACCCCCGCACGGCGTGACAGCTGCTCCTGGCCACTTTGCACTGTGTGGGGCAGCGGCTGCTCCCGGGGCTCCCTGCTCTTGGCTACGTGCAGGGCAGTAGCTGGTGCTGGCCGCCTGGCCCCAGGATAGCAGCTGCTCCTGGGGCTCCCTGCCTCTGGCCGCCATGGGGCAGCGGCTCTCCCACGCCCCTCTGCCCCTGCGGGCTGCCACCCACCAGACCGGGTCCACTCCCAGCCGTTCTCAACGTCTGTGGCTGGGGGGGGCGGGGGTAGCTGTGAGATGCGACCGTGCCTACGCCGGACGAGAGAGGTTCAACCTGCAGCGGTTATGGCGGCTACAGAGCCAGCTACAATGTGTTGTGACCTGGAGGATTTTGTGGCATTGCCATGGCACTCGGAAGACAGCAAGAGCCCTGTCCCTCCCCATGCCAGGCCTAGTCCTAGCGATACTCTGCAGCCCTCTCTTCGGTCTGTGCCCATGGGAACGGAAACAACCGACTGGAGAGTGCCTGGGGGCCAGCCCGCCCAGGGAGAGATCACAGCAGTGTCACATGGCACGAGAGATGGGAAATGGCTTCAGGAAAATGGGGGTTTCACTAATGAACGGACCAGCAGGGGGCGTCCCGCTGGAGGACAGATGTCGATGGGTTCGTGCCTTCAGGGGCTGCAGAAGGTTTTATCGCAGACGGTGACGGGGATTCCCTACCCAGTTCTGGACCAGCAGGGCTTGATGTCCTGTGGGCGGAGGAAGTCCCGCCCCCTAGATGCACTGGGCATGCTCCAAGGGCTGGGGTAGTTTAAAAGGGAGCAGCTCAGACTGGGTTGGACTCCGGAGAGGAAGGACCTGCTACAGGAGCTCCTGCAGAAACCCAATCAGAGACCCTGACGACGGGAGCAGGAGATCCGGGAGACGACACTGAGCCTCCGGAGCTGGTGGAAGCTCAGAGGGAGACGGGTGCTATGGAACCGGAGGTCTCAGGGACTACATGGATCATCCCAATGCCGGATTGGGTAGGAAGTGACTCAGGGAGGGTGCACGAATGGTATCTCCCACAGAGAGAGTGTTGCCCGCTGAGTGAGTGGCAGCTCACTCCCCCACTGACGGGGCCCTGGGTCAGGGCCCCCCTTCTGGCATTGCTGCCTCAAATCCCTGAGAGACTAGTCATAAGGCTGCACCTTGAACCCTAGGGCTGTGTCACTGACTCTAGCCATTAGGCTGTGTTGCCCTGAACCCTAAGGCTGCGTCATTGACTCTAGCCATTAGGCTATGCTGCCTGGCTGGCTGGAGCTTGTGGGGCTCAGCCCATTGTGCTGCTTCATTGCTGTGTAGATACCCAGACTTGAGCCTGGGCTCTATGACCTTGTCTTTACTCAGCGGAAGATCGATGCTGCTGCGATCAATCTTCCAGAGTTTGATTTAGCAGGTCTAGTTAAGACTCGCTAAATCAAACTCCGAGGGTGCCCCCGCCGGCGACTGGTACTCCTGCTTCTGCGAGGAGTAAGAGAAGCCAACGGGAGCATTTCCTCCCACCAGCCTCCTGCTGTGGGGACACCAGGGAAACCCAAAACAAGGTCCGTCAACTCCAGCTATTTACTTAATGAAGCTAAAGTTGTGGATCTTGATTGGACCTTCCCTTTCAGGGTAGACCTGGTCTAAGACACTCCCACCTCAAGGCCGGGCTCTACCGGATGTCTACACTGCAATTAACCGGCCCGAGCCCTGAGAGCTGGAGTCAGCTGGCTCAGTGCAGTCGTAGGTCTCTGACTGCTGTGTAGACGTGCCCCGGACGGACAGGCGCTGAGCAGAAGCTCATTAAAAGGGGGAAAAGATGAGACCCGGAGCCTGGCCTGTGCTCCTCATCTAAGAGCCCTCTGAGAACGCGTCCTTTCTAGATAACAGCATGGCTCTGAACAGAGCCCGCCGGCTGGCAGTTGCAGCGAGCGGTCCGGACGTGCGGGCAGAGGAAGGACAGAGACGGGAGAGTGAAAATGGCAGGGACTTTCTCAACAGCGATGACGTGCTAATGCAGGGCTGGGCGAGATGTGGTCGGGGGGCGGATCCGGCCTGCAGACTGTGTCGAGCCACTTTCTATTCATATCCTGCTGCTGTGACACCGAATTTCCAGCTGGTGGCTCAGGCACCAGGATCCTATTTAAATGGCTCACGGTTCCCAGGTGCGGCACTACCCTGGCAGGGGCCGGAGCCGCGAGCCCTTTGAATAGCCTGGGCGGTTGCCAGGCAACGCAGTAGCGGCGTGGCTAGGAGCCACGGGCCCTTTGCTGTTTTTACTTCAAAGCCTCCAGCCCTAGACAACTCTGGCGGGAGCCTAGCCCTCAGGCCCCGCCCCTTCCACCTCAGGCCACGCCCCTTCCACCTCAGGCCACGCCCCTTCTGAAGAAGAGGGGGTTGAAGCCAGCCCACATGTTTTCCAGGGGCTGTGGTGGTGGAGCCGGCCCGTGACCAATACCAACGTTCATTAAGGGACCTCCTGCAAAAATGATCACCCACCCTGTGCGAATGGCACTTGCTATGGCAATGTACCCTAACCAGGAACTCGTTAAGCGTGTGCTTTATTCTGTGGGCACGGCTAGCTGCAAACAGAACAGATTTCCCTGCAGCCACCGGACTTGCTGCCCGTCGCTTACCACATGGAGTGCCCCAGGTATTCGTCGTAGTAGTACAGCAGCTCGAAGGAATCAATCTGTAACGGGACGAAGCCGGGTTAACGGGGCGTGCCGGGGCGGCGCCGCAGCATCCCGAAACGGGCCGTTGGAAACCAGTGCTGCCGCCACCCCTCAGCGGCCTTACCAGCGTCTCCGGCTTCAGGTTTTTGATGATGGGGTTCTCTCTCACCGACAGGTGGTGCTGGTACCCGCTGAACATCAAGCGGTGGTTGACGGAGTCGCCCACCAGATGGATGCTGGCTCCCATGACGAACACGATGATGCTGACGTAGACGACTGATCGGGGCAGGGTCTTGGGGGATCGTTCAATGAGCTGCAAGTCAAGGGGCTGGTTAATGGCATCGGAACCAAGAGGGGCGAGGTAGAAGCAGAGGGGAGGTCACACACAATGGAGTCTAGCCACTGTAAAAGGCCAACTTTACGTCCGTCTGTCGGTCCCCTCCCCAGCCTCCCTCCGAAAAAATCAACCCCAACAAGCAAGTTGTCTATGCAGTGCTGCAATCTGGAGGTCACCTTAGTGGATCAGAGCCAAAAATGATGAGGGGGCTGGAGCGCAGGACCAATGAGGAGAGGCTGAGGGATTTGGGCTTATTTAGTCTGCAGAAGAGAAGAGTGAGGGGGGATTTCATAGAATCATAGGACTGGAAGGGACCTCAAGAGGTCATCGAGTCCAGCCCCCTGCCCTCAAGGCAGGACCAAGCTCCGTCTACACCATCCCTGACAGATGTCTATCTAACCTGTTCTTAAATATCTCCAGAGAGGGAGATTCCACCACCTCCCTTGGCAATTTATTCCAATATTTGACCACCCTGACAGTTAGGAATTTTTTCCTAATGTCCAATCTAAACCTCCCCTGCTGCACTTTAAGCCCATTACTCCATGTCCTGTCCTCAGAAACCAAGAGGAACAAATTTTCACCTTCCTCCTTGTGACACCCTTTTAGATATTTGAAAACCACTATCATGTCCCCCCTTAATCTTCTTTTTTCCAAACTAAACAAGCCCAGTTCATGAAGCCTGGCTTCATAGGCTTCTCTAGACCTTTAATCATTCTTGTCACTCTTCTCTGTACCCTTTCCAATTTCTCCACATCTTTCTTGAAATGTGGCGCCCAGAACTGGACACAGTACTCCAGCTGAGGCCTAACTAGTGCAGAATAGAGCGGCAGAATGACTTCACGAGTTTTGCTTACAACACACCTGTTGATACAACCTAAAATCATATTTGCTTTTTTTGCAACAGCATCACACTGTTGACTCATATTCAACTTGTGGTCCACTATGACCCCTAGATCCCTTTCCGCCATGCTCCTTCCTAGACAGTCGCTTCCCATCTTGTATGTATGGAACTGATTGTTCCTTCCTAAGTGGAGCACTCTGCATTTCTCCTTATTAAACCTCATCCTGTTTACCTCCGACCATTTCTCTAACTTGCTAAGGTCATTTTGAATTATGTCCCTATCCTCCAAAGAAGTTGCAACCCCACCCAGTTTGGTATCATCTGCAAACTTAATAAGAGTACTCTCTATCCCAATATCTACATCATTGATGAAGATATTGAACAGTACGGGTCCCAAAACAGACCCTTGAGGAACTCCACTTGTTATCCCTTAACTCTATCGTCCAACTCTATCATTCTATGGCCGTCCAGCTGAGTATCCTGTCAGATGCCACCCTCACGTATTCCTTGCTTCTTCTGCTCAGCAACGCTAGAATCTCCTATCCAAAGGAGAAACTGTCCCCTGCCACATAGGGATGCAGACGGCTCAGAGGACCAAAGAAACTGGCAGTATTGATTTTTTTTCCCCCCTCCTACCAACATTGTAAATAAATCACCTAATTTTCAGTCTCAAACCTGAGCATGTGTCCTTAACGGTACCCGCCTTGTGACAGTCGATGCTCCAAAATATTACACAAAGCAGCTGATGTATGCATCAGCCCTGATGAAAAGCATGAGTCCTTCAGGGGGGAAAAATGCTGCATCTGTCGTTCCTGCTCCGAGCAGCATGATGATTCTGTCTCTTTGTGCCCTCCAGTGGGGAGTGGCCCCACCAGCAGCGCTCTGCGTTACCGCAGGATGCTTAAATCGGGGCTACTCAATACGCCGCCCGTGGGCCGCATGCAGCCTGCAGTGCGGTTTGGGTTTATATGGTGCTCAACACTCAGCCCATGTGTGGGATCCTTTGAACATGGCCTCTCCAGTGGGGAGTGGCCCCACCAGCAGCGCTCTGCGTTACCGCAGGATGTTTAAATCGGGGCTACTCAATATGCCGCCCGTGGGCCGTGTGCAGCCTGCGGTGCGGTTTGTGTTTACACAAGGCTCAACACGCGGCCCGCGGGTGGGATCCTTTGAACGTGGCCTCCACTGGGAACACACTTCACAACGGCGAGTCAACATAAGGGTGTTCTGTTGAGATGCGTTTGAGAAGTTAAATTCCTGGATTGGCATTGCTCATTAAAAGTGCTGTCGTATGGGTAGAAATCGGTTAGCTGTTTCATTTTATTAATATCAGCAGAACTGACTTACATGGGGCTTGCGTGTTGTGTTGTCTTGCCTTAATCTTTGTAGTCATGCCCATCAGTGTGAAAGAAGCTATTTGCATATATTTGCATCTATATTTGCATGTATATGCATCCACACTTAAGTTGCCGCTCTTACCATGTGCTGTGAGTATCACTGTGGCCCTGGGACTTCCAAAGTTGAGTAGCCCTACTCTAAATCCTCCTTAAATTAGTGCAGGTGCCCGCTGGACTGTGTTCATTTTTCTCTGTACTTCAGGTTATTTCTAGTCTCTGAAGGCGAAGTGTCGTTTGCTCGGCACTCGCGTAAGGGTAAAATCAAAGTGCCGTATCCAATTGCTTGGTGTGTTCAATAACCCTTTGCCACCGGCTGACAAGACGAGCTTGCTGGGCGAAATTCTCCTCTGTGTAGGAATCTGCCCATGATCATTTACAGAGCTTCCTCCAATCCCTACAGCACAACTCAGTTGCTAGCATCTTGTACAAGCCCTCTGCCCACCGGTGAATGTCGTCCCCAAAAGGACAACTCAGGAACAGAGATGTCAAAGCAGCCCCAAAGTCCTGAATTTGATCATCAGGGGTTTCTACAACCGGGGGAGGTGTCTAGACCTACCGGCTGAATGGGAGTGGCGATGCGTCGGGAGATGGGAGTCAAGGCCCTAAGGGGCAACACTGGTGTGACTGCAAATCTGATTGGCTTTGGGTACAATTTCTCCTCCCGCCTGAAAGCCTCGTAGGCTTCTCTTGTACTGGTGGAAGAGCGAAACTCCCAACAAAGGTCAACTCCCAAGGCTAGTCTGGAAAAGGGACTCGGCTCTTTGACGAGCATGTGTCACACTGAAACCCAGCTGGTCAGCTCCGGATGAGGCTGGCGGTGTTCTCCTTCCTCACCTGGAACATCAGCTAGAACGCGCTTCTGCCTGCCCTGTTCTCGACTGTCCTAAGTAAGCGACTTGGCAGAAGTTTTTCAATAGATTGTCTTGTTTTCAAGGCTTAGCGTCCCATTGATATTTTTACAACAACTTTATGAAGCTCGGAAAAGAGGCATTTAGAGATGAGCAACACGAACGGGAGCCAAGAAAAACTCTTCTGTCTGAAGAGATCTGGAACAGATAGGGGCTGTAATGTAGAAGACAAATGTGAGAAGACGTGTAAAAGCTACGCTAAATAATGAATGGCCTAGAGCCCTTCGGCTGGGCATTCCTATTCGTCCTTTCATACAATTCCCAAAGGAAATCCAATTAAATTGAAAGGCCAGAAAGCTATACCTGATGAAAGGAAATGGTCTTTCACCTGATGTACTGATACCTCAAGCTGCTCTCTGCCACAAGATACCATGGCAGCCAACAGCTGGGTGTCCGGCTGGTGAGTCTTGCCCACATGCTCAGGGTTCAGCTGATCGTCATATTTGGGGTCGGGAAGGAATTTTCCTCCAGGGTAGATTGGCAGAGGCCCTGGAGGTTTTTCGCCTTCCTCTGTAGCATGGGGTACAGATCACAGCTGGAGGACTCTCTGCATCTTGGGGTCTTCAAAGTATTTGAAGGCTTCAATATCTGAGATCTAGGTGAGAGGGTTATTCTAGGAGAGGTGGGTGAGATTCTGTGGGCTGCACTGTGCAGGGGGTCAGACTAGATGATCATAATGGTCCCTTCTGACCTTAAAGTCTATGAGTCTATGAGCTTACCAAGTTTCAGAAAGTGTCAGGGCATCATTGGAGTGGATAACACATAGATCCAAGGTAAGGATCTGCCCCCCAAAAAAGGGATAAACCCCTCGCGCCAGGACAATTCAATTTCTAACTAAGAAGAGCAGGCAAGAAATGTTCAGAGTTGCTCGCTGCAGGACTTCGTGCATGTTCTGAATGGGAGAAGGTTTCTGAGAGAAGCTCTTTGCTGTAACGGACGAGGACCTACAATCCAATGGCTGGAAACGAAAGCTAGAAAAGTTCAGGCTGGAGCTAAGATGCAAACCTTTCCCCGTCTGTGAGATTAACCACTGGAGCACAGCTGCTGGGCATGCGGGTTCTCCATCCCCTGGAATCTTAACTCAAGACAGGAGGCCTTGCTGTCACTCAGACGTTATTGGCCCAGTGCAGAAATTGCTGGCTGAAATGCTCGGGCTTGTGTTACGAGGAAGACAGACTAGAGCTAATCCAATGGTCCCTTTTAGCCTTACATCTATGAAACCTTCCACTCAAGTTCTGATTTTGATCGCTGCTAGTGACATGTTCCTGAACTCAGTGGGATCATGGATCTGACCCAGCGCAGCACTTGGTACATTCCTATGAATAGGTGGAGGAGAAACCAATCTGAAGTTCATGCGAGGGAGGGAAATGAATAAGAATGGGAGGTACTATTCCTTCCTCTCCCCTCCCCCCACAGTGATGATCAAATCTCTCCTCATTGGCCCAGGGCTTGGACAAGAAGTTTCTGACCTATCTGCTAAAAATGTTTCAAGCTGCAGCGGGTCGGAAGACAAGGGAATGTTACAGATCCATCAGCCGAGCTAACCTCTTGCTCTTTAAAAGCTGCCATTTTCTCCCCATGCGCATTTCTGGAATAGAATCATAAAACACTAGAACTGGAAGGGACCTCGAGAGGTCATCAAGTCCAGCCTCCTACCCTCACGGCAGGACCAAACACCAGCAATAGCTCTACCCCGGGTAGAACTGGATGTCTGAAATTGACACACGTTCTCCTGCAGCAACGCCTGCTGTGTTTGCGAGCTTTGCCCGGAGTCCCAGTGTGCTAAATGGCCAACGTTTCAAAACCGTAAGGGCCGTGATTGGAGGGTTACCTTTAAAAGAAGAAACGGAGTGATGACATTGTATGCCATATGGAAATAATCTCCTGCACTCGGTTTGTTTAATGGAAACCACTCCAAAGGCAGAATAATCTGGGGAGAGAAGAAAAAACAAAACATCAGCAGGCCTTCGAACGCCTCGCCTGTAGGCACAGCCGGCAACGGAGTTCAACGCGAGTATTGCATTGCACTGATAGCTCATCCGCACATCTGCAGTCCCGAGTGACTGGCTGAATGTTTAGTGATTGCAAGAACGAGAATGAGTTTTGGTCAGCAGTCCCGGCCCGGTGGTTCGGGTTAGATCTGTTAGCCAACCAGCTGGCTTGGCTTTGCCGAGCTCTTGTTAAAACAAACCCAGTTGACGCAATTTCCCAGAGACTTTTTCCGATTTATATGCAGGCTCCAGAAAACTGGAACGTTCGGGTGAGAGGAGAACACACTGCTCTTTCTCCTCCTAATCTTTGTGCTCCTGCAACGGAGCCAAACGCCAGCACTGTTAATTTGAGCGGTTGGCTAAGAACCTCGTTCCAAATCCACTGCTTATTCAATACACTCTGCAGGCTTCCTGGATCTGACACTTTGGTCACCTTTGATCAGGTAGCCCGACCACAAAAACAAACGTTACCGTTGGAAATGGGAAACTCTTCAGCCATCATACGTGGGCTGTTTGCTCTAAGACAAGGCAGCACCAGGAGGCGAGCACAGTGTATTGCAAATGCGTGACTGATGCTGCCAGCCACTCTCTTCCATTTGGAGGCAGGGAAGCCGGTAGGGAGACCAAACCCACCTTCCGAGGTTTGTGCTCTGCCAAATAAGCAGCCGGGCTAACACCAGTCATTGAAACTGCAGTAATGGGGAGCAGGTTTAAAACTAATAATAGAAAGTTCTTCACACATCGTGTAGTCAACCTGTGGAACTCCTTGCCAGAGGAGGCTGTGAAGGCTAGGACTATAATAGAGTTTAAAGAGAAGCTAGATAATTTCATGGAGGTTAGGTCCATAAAAGGCTATTAGCCAGGGGATAAAATGGTGTCCCTGGCCTCTGTCTGTCAGAGGCTGGAGAAGGATGGCAGGAAACAAATTGCTTGATCGTTGTCTTCGGTCCACCCTCTCTGGGGCACCTGGTGCTGGCCACTGTCGGCAGACAGGATACTGGGTTAGATGGACCTTTGGTCTGACCCAGTACGGCTTTCTTATGTAATACTGGGAGCACGCAGATGGCAGAACCTCCCTGGAGAGCAGAGAAGATGCAAATTAAGTTGTTCAAAAGTAGGCTCGAGAGCAGGGTCCTCCCCCTTCTTTCTGCTCCCGCCCCCCACCTGTTTCCTGCAGATAAAAGCCAGGGCTGGCATTAGGGGGTAGCAAGCTGGCTGTGCAATTTCCCAGGGTCCCCTCAAAGCTACACAGATCATGCTTCTGCTCTAGCCCCAGATGGAGGGGCGTCAGCCCAGGGGCTACTGCTTTCTGCCCCAGCTCCCGGCAAGACTAACGATAGCCCTGCTTGGCCGCCCTCCTGAAACCTGCTCGTGACAGGGCTCCGGACCCCTGGCTGCGAACGGCTGATCTAGACCTTCGGGTTCCAGAGCATAGGGATCGTTCTCTGCTTCGCAAATGTAGCGCCGCTCAATTCCCCCACCCCTCCTGGTACGGCTCCAAGTCGCTTCCGTCTACATCCGCCCCGCCCCGGCATTGCCCTCCTCTGATTGACCAGCCCGTGCCATCCTACTCACCATCGCGATCGGCCGCCCAAAGTCCAGCACCCAGTTCTGCAGGGTGAAGTAGAACCACAGGTCGAAGTGAAACTGAGACGTCTTCAAGGTGTCTTCGCCCTTGGCTGACCCATGCCTATGAACGAGACGAGAGAGACCAGTTCAGCCCTGTGGGCAGCCGGAAGCTCTTTCGCTTGACAGCGATGGGAGGAAAATACTCTTTGGTCCTGCACTTTAACCAGGCTCCTTTTTAGGAAGATACAAACGTGCAGCGGAAGACCAGGCCAGGGCCCCTGGTGCGCTGTAACCGTGTCCTCTGTGGTGTTTCTATCTGGAGAAGTAGGCACAGAAAGCTCCCATTCGAGCTAGCCAAGTCGGTCAACGCGTGGGGAGGTGGAGACCCCCACCCCAGGGGGCCCCAGAACCTGGTGGGCAGGGCTCTCCCTTAGGGAGATCTAGCACATGACCTACGAGGAGAGGCTGAGGGATTTGGGCTTATTTAGTCTGCAGAAGAGAAGAGTGAGGGGGGGTTCAACGCCCTGAAGGGAGGTTCCAAAGAGGATGGAGAGAGGCTGTTCTCAGTGGTGACAGATGGCAGAACAAGGAGCAATGGGCTCAAGTTGCAGTGGGGGAGGTCTAGGTTGGATATTAGGAAAAACGATTTCCCTAGGCAGGTAGGGAAGCACTGGGGTGGGTTCCCTGGGGAGGGGCTGGAATCGCCATCCTTACAGGTGTTTAACTCCCGGCTTGACAGAGCTCTGGCTGGGTTGATTTAGTTGGGATCAGTCCTGCTTTGGGCAGGGGGCTGGACTTGATGATCCCCTGAGGTCTCTTCCAGCCCTGGGATTCTAGTAGGCAGGCCAAGAATTTGAACGTGGATCTCCCATATGCCAGCGAAGAGCCTACCTATTGGGTACTCAAGCCAGGAATGGTTGAGCGTGCTCAGTTTGCTCCCTGTCTGTCTGTCTTGTGCCATGTGCTCTGAGCGCGCCTGTCACAGCAGGGCAACACCTGAGTTGAGGTTCTGGCTGCCACGAAGGAGTGAGAGCTCCAAGCAGCTTGCGGGATGGGGGAAGATCAGGTGGCTTTGCAATGCCCACCAACAGAAACCTAAGTGCCTCAGGGATTGTAGCCTAGCTGAGCCGTGGTGCCCAATTGTCCGACGTAAGCACCTGGATATCTTTGTGTCTCTTGCCCCAACAAACAACAGATCACTGGAGACGCTGAGCCTGGGATCTAGGTTTATGGAGCCTGACTTCGGTGCTCTTTCCCCGGCATCCCACTACTCTTACGCTTCACTGTGCAGCAACACGGCTGTGGTGAACCGCACTCCGAGGAGTAAAGAACAAGCAAAGGTTAAAGCCCTCGGCTGACAGGCCGTGCGAAATGCAAAGCGCTAGTCACCGAACGCAATGCAGCGCCGGTAAAACAAAATTATGCTGGCTAAAAATAAGCAGCTATGCAGGGTTTGGGGCACGTTGATTCTAAGTGTTGAACTACACAACTACACAAGAACGGCCAGGCTGGGTCAGACCAAAGGTCCATCTAGCCCAGAATGCTGTCTGCCCAGGGTGGCCAATGCCAGGAGCCCCAAATTAATTCCCAAGCTGTTTGCTATGTTGGATATTAGGGATGTTAAATATCGGTTAATTGACTAGTCGATTAACCCCATGAATTCTTACGTTATTTGTCTATTCTATAGTCCTCCGGGGTGGGGCTGGCAGCCAGTGCCCTCCAGCCCCACTCCCACGGAGCCCCCTGCCATTCCACGCTGCTGCTTCTGTATCCGCTATAGACTACCTGGGATCAGAGGCAGCAGTGTGGGGTGCCAGGTGTCAGCTGGTCCGTGAGGGGAGCCAGTTTCAAAACCAGCTCCCCTTTCAGACCGGCTGCCTGTTGCCCCATGCTGCTGCCTCTGATAGAGAGGCAGCAGCGCAAGGTGGCAGCAGCCCCTGTCTGAGCTCCTGGACCCCTGTGCGAGCCAGAACTGAGCTGGATTGCCTGCCTGCCTGGCTCCTAAAAGACTTTAAATGCAGAGCCACAGTGGCGGCAAGCTGGAATTGAGCCAGGCTGCTGGCCAGCCTGCTAAAAAATGTACTGGCAAGAGGGAAATGCAGGTAGTCTATAGCATTAATCGATAAGCTTTTGCTAAGCGATTAATTGACTATACTATTACATCCCTACTGGATATTGCTAGAAAAAAAAGTTAAACGTAGCTAATCCTTCTGGCTTGTTTAATTAGTTAACTGGGTTTAGAATTGGTCACCCAAGTATTCAGTTCAGAAAGCTGCAGTAAGAGAAATGTAAAGTTACTAGTTGCCCCTGAGTGTTATTTTCTTATTTTATATTACATAATACTTGCCTTTTATTTTGGAACATTATGACCACAGTTCATAGGTGAATGCCATAATTCTTTTTTTTTTTTTTTTTTTTTTGGTAATTTAATTTAAATCACTGACTTTTTTTTTTATGGTGATTTCAATCAATCCGCCTCCTGGTGACGTAATGGGAGTCTTCGCCTTGCCTACGCCAGCTGCACCATGCCTTTGTGCGGTGAGAGGTAAATAGCAGCCCTACTGTAAGAGCACTGGTGTGAAACCTATTACCCTGGAGCCCGGGTTGAGAGCTCAAATGCTGAAATATTATCTTGTGTTGGAAGCGTCCGCCGCAGCTGGCCCGCTCGCAATGGAGACGTGTTGGCATGGTCTAACCAAGCTACGCTATGGGCCGAATGATGGTCTTAGAAAAGAAAGCTACCCTTACAAAATCGTTCTCTTCCCTGGGGTTGCTAGTGGTCTTGGGAGACCTTGGACTTGTCTACACTCGAACGACAGCCGTGAGGATGCCACTGCAGCTGACAGGAGGGGGGGTCCCTGCAGCCGGCGTGGGGGGGGGACCTGTGAGAACTGGAGAAATGAGTCAGGCCTGGGGCCGTACAGGGAGTACTACTGAGTCCGTAACTGGGTGGAGCTGAGCAAGAGTGAACAGGACCTGGCTTTATCCTAGCTTTGCCCAAAGCCCGTGGCACGGAGCCTCACCACAGCCTGAAGGGACACCTGCAGGAGCGTAAGGAGGCAAATAGCACTATTCAAACGAGATGGTTCTCCCCCCCCATCTCCCCGGGGCGCAGGGCCGGTC